AGAGGGAGAGAGATCCCAAGCAGGCTCTGCACTGTCAGCACAGAGCCTGATACAGGGTTTGAACACATGAAATTGTGAGATCATGGCCTGAGCTGAAACCAAGAGTCAGACGCTTAACCAAGTGAGTCACCCAAGTGCCACAATAGCTTATTTTCTACATAAATGACAAATGACTGTCACTTGTCCAGGAAATGGCTTAATGTAGTATCTTTAGAGAAGAGAAATTGAGAGACCTTATCCTACCTGGGGTCCCCAACCTCCACCCCAATCTACTGCACTTAAGACAAATAATATTAGAAGAAGCAAAAACTAGAAGCCTACTGATCTGTGTGCAACTGGGCATGAACTCACCATCACTTCTCCCCGGAAAGTGTGTTTTAATGGTGAGTAGGGCACATGAAACACAGAGGCCCTGAAACCCACTAGGAAGTAGAGAAAATACTAGAAAACAGGGTATGAGAAAAAGAATTTCCCCTCTTCACAATGGGATCAGGGATCAACTAAGAAAATAAAACCCAAGAGTTTTAGGGTGGGAAGGAACCAGGGAGATTAGTTTTATGTAAAGAAAGGGGATCCAAAGAAGGTCCTCTGCCAGGTCCAACAGCCAAACAGGGGCGAGGCTGGGAGGGGACCTCAGCTCTCCCATAAGAGAGCCTCCCCTGAGCTGGCCCTGTGTGCTGCAGAAGCCAGGAAAGCCTTGGCACTTTTACGACAGACAGGCTTTCTACCTGAAACCAGGGGAAGTAGAAGCCAGGCAAATTTGAAGCTAAAATACAAAGACCATAATGCACTATTAGGGAGAAAAAGCACTCGAAATCTTACTGGCTAGGACACTCCAAAACACTGCTGCTTCTCTTCTGCCTTTTATATTATGTTTTACATAATATGATTATTTGACTGGTCATATTGAACCTGCAAGTACCTGTGAGGGAAATGACCCCTCAATAGCTTATATCTTACAAGAGAAAGGCATTCAGGTAACGGGTTCCCATTCTTGGGTCTGTGCCCGGAAGTGACTAGTTCCACCATGGCAGGATCTCAGGAGTGCAGTAATAGCAAACCCCAAAAGCAGATTACCATTGGAAGCCCAGCGGTGAAGATAGTCGAAGAGGTTTGAGGTTTGTAGGATGTGTCTCACTGAGGCCTTTCTGGCTCTACCTATTAAATTAAATAAGACAGGGCGCCTGGGTGGCTCAGTCGGTTAAGCATCTGACTTCAGCTCAGGTCATGATCCCACAATTCGTGGGCTCGAGCCCCACGTCGGGCTCTGTGCTGACAGCTCAGAGCCTGGAGCCTGCTTCCGATTCTGTGTCCCCTTCTCTCTCTACTCCTCCCCCGCTCACTCTCTCTCTCTCTCTCTCTCTCTCAAAAAATAAACACTTAAGGGGCGCCTGGGTGGCGCAGTCGGTTAAGCGTCCGACTTCAGCCAGGTCACGATCTCGCAGTCGGTGAGTTCGAGCCCCGCGTCAGGCTCTGGGCTGATGGCTCGGAGCCTGGAGCCTGTTTCCGATTCTGTGTCTCCCTCTCTCTCTGCCCCTCCCCCGTTCATGCTCTGTCTCTCTCTGTCCCAAAAATAAATAAACGTTGAAAAAAAAAAATAAAAATAAATAAATAAATAAAAATAAACACTTAAAAAAATAAAAATAAATAAATTAAGACTATTTTCTAAATGAAAGGAAGAAGCAGGAAAACTAAAGATAAAAACTGGGTTCTTACCAATAGAATGATGTTTAATTCTCTTTCGGTGTAAAAGGAAAAAACAGAGCTTAATTGGCCACAGAAGCAAAAGTCTGACACCTCAGAAGTTCTCTATTAAGATGGACTAGTCAATAGCAGAGATGGTGACAATGAATGATTCTCCTCAGGACAACTTCTTGGACTTCAGTGCCCACAACTCAATGGGTCTTGTTTGAATGCAGACTGATTCTGGGGGCGCCTGCGTGGCTCAGTGAAGTGTCTGACTCTTGATTTCAGCTCGGATCATGGTACCACAGTTGTGAGATCTAGCCCCATGTCGGGCTCCACACTGATAGCACAGAAACTGCTTGGGATTCTCTCTCTTCTCTCTCTGACCCTCCCCCCTGTTCACACGCTCTCTCTCTCTCTCAAAAGAAATAAACACTAAAAAAAAAGAATGCAGACTGATTCCGGTATCTGGGTAGAGACTGAGATTCTGCCTTTCTAATAAGCTTCAGACGCTGCTGATCTACAGATCACACTTGCAGTAGCAAAGCTCTCCCGCTTACTAAGAACTCTTCTTGGTGGTTCTTTAACTTATCCAGGTGGATGAGAATCCATATGTCACAAGGCTCTTTGGGAACGTATCTTATTCCAGCATATGAACTGGGCCAATCTTGCTGCAGAAGATGGTACCATGGCAGGTAATATACCATGTGTCACTCAAAGTGCCACTGACTACCAAGCTCGTGTCAACTGGCTGTTTCTGGACTTTCCTCAAAATGTTTCCTACTTGGGGGCACCTGGGTGGCTCAGTCAGTTAAGCGTCCCACTTTGGCTCAGATCACGATCTCATAGTTCGTGGGCTCGAGCCCTGCGTCGGGCTCTGTGCTGACAGCTCAGAGCCCGGAGCCTGCTTCAGATTCTGTCTCCTTCTCTCTGCCCTCCTCGGCTGGCACTCTGGCTCTCTCTCTCTCAAAAATAAATAAACTTACAATGTTTCTTTCCTACTTGTCTGGCACATAGAAAGCTCAACAGAGGCCCGTAGTATAAATGAATGAATGAACGAATGAACAAAGGAAAGGTGGAAGGAAGAAGGACACTAAGTGAACTTGGCTCCCACCCTGCCTCTGTGCATATTTGGACCATCTTGTAAATCTTTCTACTTGTCATGTATGGAGATAGGGGAACAATTCAAAACCATCATCAGCCTTGGTGAGAAACGGGAAGGAGGAGGAGATGGGGAAATAATGCGTGTAGCCAGTAACTTATGGGGATCATTGAGCCCCGGGCAGAGTTAAGTCCTTCACACTGACGTAACTTCATCTTCTCAAAACCTCTGTGAACTGGGGATTATAAAGATTTCCACATTATAGACTGAGAAACTGAAGCACAAGAGGGTTACTAACCCAAGACACCCCAGTGAGGAAGGAGGAGGCAGGCTCCGGGCCCAGGCTGCTTGAGCTGCACATTATACACCCCTCTTCACAGCAGCCTCAACACTTAACCCTCAGGGCAGCACTGCTACCCCCCACAGCAAGCCCTGACCCCCTTCTCTGCTATATTCCACAAGCAGTTAGCACCCCAAATTGGCTTGCCTGTGCGGCTTCTCCAAACTGAATATTAACACAGCATTAAAGACCTAATCGTTGCCTGTGTTTTTATTATACTGATACACCTTAGCACACGGACTCCACATGTTTATGAGCTTTGTCGGATGGTTTCTGCAGTTTCCCTAATTGAAGAGCAAAACAAACAAACAAACAAACAAAAAACTGTAGAGAATACTGAGAAGAAAAACTGTTTTTGGAGAGCGCACTTTTACAAGGTTTCAAGAACATACAAAGAATCTTCATACACTCCTTCACCCGGAAGGGCCACCCGCCTGCACTCTGCCCCATTTGCTTTATCATTTATACTTGCTCTTTCCCCCTCTGGCTCACATATGCACACATAGATCTCCACTATTTTGTTCTGAATCATTGGAGAATAAGTTATAAACAGCACACCCCTTGATTCCAAAATACCCCAGTGTATAATTCCTAAGAATAAGTCCATTCTCTTACACGTACTAGTCATCGACTCCGGGAAAAGTTCACGTTGATCTAATACTTTAATCTAATCTACAATCCACATCCAACATTGTCATTTGGCCCAAGGATGCCTTTTCGAGCTGGACCTCATACGTTTTAATGGCTGGATGTCTATTAAGAATTAATACAAGTAATTAAGAATTAATATGAGTCGAGTGCTTTGGCATTTAGAAAGCCCTTCCACGACACCAACTCATTTGGTTCTCGTGGTGCCTCTCTGAGGTCAGGCAGGCAGCATTATCCCTGTGATGAAAATGAGGCTGAAGGAATGTTACATTCAGAGCCAGAGCTCAGCATCCCCTCCCCTCACATCACTGCTTGGTGCTTAAACACTTTGTTTTCATGCCAACCAGCAGACTGACCGCCAATCCAAACATTTAAAATTCTATAAATACAATAATATTGCTTCACTGTTTATATCTCTAACCACTTTCTTTTATGTTAACATTATAGATTCTAATTACTGCCCATAGCTACATACTGAGGAAGAGTCTGAGGTGCCCCAGGAGAGCAGCTTGGTATGAGCTGGGAGGCCCATGGGCTGGCCCTTGGCCTTGCCCAATCTGTTTTCCAGAGCCTGCACCACCATGTGCATAGAACTTGAACTCATAACTGGCAAAGAATCCCCAGATGTGTGCTTGGCTTGATCACAGAAAGCTGAGACACTGGATATCTCTTCCAGAACACAGTGAAACCTAAGTTTCAGGTGGGGAGGGAATTTGCTAATCTTCACAAACAGCCTAGAAAGATCAAACTCGTGAACTTGCCTGCCGAACAGAAGCACTGATTTCGGAAATGGAACCAAGAGGTTCAAATCTTTACTCTGCCACTTAGCTAATTTTCCTTGGGCAAGTTACCTAACTTCACTGGGCCTCCATTCTACCGTCCGTAAGCCCAGATGGCAACAGCCACAAGCAGAAATGATGTGCGGCGGCCAGCATGGAGTCTGGCCCATTGCACGGTGTTAAGAGGAACAGAAAGCCTGCATGGCGAGTCCCTGCTGTCACACAGCCCCGAAGGAGCCTTGCAAGGCTGAGTTTGTAACAGGATGTGAGCAATGTGGGGAGTTTTGGTGAAAATTCTGTATGGTTCTCTGACTGTTAAGAACACAAACTAACAGAGCCACTCTGCAGTAAGTGCTGTCCCTGGCGACAGGAAGCTGAATTTTTCCTGCGTGTGGCACTCCGCTCTAAGTTAGTGAACGTGGGGTAGAAAGAACAAAGTATTTACCTTTTCCAGGGCCTCTCTGTCAAGTAGTTCTTGCACAGCTAGAAGCTTGATGCTGTAAGAAAAAATGGAAACCACACTTGAGAACAAATCATTTCACGTCACCAAGCATTAGCCAAGTCCCGAGAACAAAAGTTTGACGTGTCAACCTGCATTTCTGCTTAGTCCCATCCAAAATCAACCTCTGCTTTGAATTGAAATAACCAATTCAGAACTATTAAAAATATTTCTAAATTGTACAGCTGATTTCATCATATGATCCAGAAATTTCACTTCTGGGCACATACCCAAAAGAGTTGAAAATAGGAACTGGAACAGATACTTGCACACCCATGTTCATAGAGGCATTAGTCACAACAGCCAAAAGGTAGAAACAACTGAAATGTCCATCAATGGATGCATGGATAAACAAATATGGTGTATACATGCAATAGGATTATTTCTTTTTAATGTTTATTCTATTTTTAAGAGCAAATGTGAGCAGGGGAGGGGCAGAAAGATCCGAAGTAGGCTCTGAGCTGACAGCAGTGAGCCTGATGTGGGGCTCAAACTCATGAACTTTGAGATCATGACCTAAGCCGAAGTCAGACGCTCAACTGACTGAGTCACCCAGGTGACCCTGCATGCAATGGAATTATTATTCAGCCTTAAAAAGAAGGAAATTCTGGCCCATGCTATAACATAGAGGAACCTTGAAGACACTATGCTGAATGAAAAGCCAGACACAGAAGGACAAGTATTGTTATGATTCCACTTATATCAGATACCTAGAGTAGTCAAGTTCAAAGAGACAGAAAGTAGAATGGTGGTTACCAGGGATGGGGGAGGAGGGAAAGGGGAGCTGTTGTTTGGTGGGTACAGGGTTTCAGTCGGGGATGACCAAAAAGTTCTGAAGATCGATGGCGGTGATGGCTGCACGTTGATATAGATGTACTGAGATGCATGCCTATACATGGTTAAATTAATACATTTTACGTTATGTACATTTCACCAAAAAAATTCTAAAAATCATGATAGCGGCTTCATGTAAGGAATATGAACAAATTCAGAGCAATATAAAGAAGAAAACAGTTGCCCATGTTTGGAATTATTCTTCCCTCGATGTCCTTTTGATGATAACAAGCCAACAGCTAAATTCGCTGCTTATAAACATGGACGGCTCAGCTGCTCATCTGTTTACCACACAGTGATCAAGCCCTACAATATGTGGGTGGCCGAGGGTACCCAGGACTGGGACATGGTCCCAGCCCAGGAGGAGCTCACAGCCTCTTGGAGGCCACAGTCAGACCACAGTCAGAATACAATGTGCAGGGTACCAAGTAGACAGGCCAAGATGCAGAGAGAAGCCTGGCCCTGGCAGAGAACAAGGAAGGCTTCCTGGAGGAGGGTCTGGCTAGCCTTGACCTGGGAGAAAGGCGACCCACAGAGGGACAGCAGAGGCAAAGGCACCAAGCCTAGAGTAGGGGTGTGGAGTGTACACAACCCGCCCGTTTCCAGTTTAGGGGCCAGAGCTGTAGCCAGCAACTCAGATGAGACAATTCAGAAGTGGATGCAGGATTTACAGGGAAGATATCTTTCCCTCATGGCATGCTGCTTTTGACATGTCTGTGGACACATGGAAGGACTCATCAGTACATGAACTCATCAGTACATGGAAGGAAGCATGAGAGCTCACTGAGATTGTTCAGGGAGTGGGCCAGCTTCCGATGGTACATGACGCTCCCTCCCCACTGAGCTCATCTGTTTATGGCCACTGGCCACTGTGTTCTCTACCTCCAGCCAACCTGCACGGGTTCTCCAGAGTAGAAATGTCCCCACTGCCCACCTATACCAGGAGCCTCCCTCCAAGGGGGTCATGCTCATGTTAAGATTCACCTTAATTTACAGAATTCTTTTTTTTTTAATTTTTTTTAACATGTATTCATTTTTGAGAGACAGAGAAATAGAGAGTGCAAGTGGGGGATGGGGCAGAGAGCGAGGGAGACACAGAACCTGAAGCAGGCTCCAGGCTCTGAGCTGTCAGCACAGAGGCCCGATGCGGGGCTCAAACCCAGGAGCTGTGAGATCATGACCTGAGCTGAAGTCGGATGCTTAACTGACTGAGCCACCCAGGCGCCCCCAGAATTCTTTACAGTATCTCCATATGACTAAGCAAGCACAACCAACCAAATGCAATGGTTTACATAAAAGCAACTCCAAGAAGCACAATAAAAGTTTTAAAGCTTATAAGACACTGTGACCACTGCTAACAATTTAGCAAATATAGGAGCTCAGAGGACTCTGGGCATTCCCTCTGCTCCAACCACACTGACTCTCCTTCATCTCTTGGACATTAGTTTTGTTGTTTGTCTGGCTTGGGTCTTGCGCAAGATCTTTCCAACACTGACGCTGGTATATTGTGTCATTCGGGGCCAGATGTGAAGGCCACGTCCTCTAAGCAGCATTCTCTGGACACCGAGGTCAAGCAGTGTCCCTGATGATCACATTTTATTTTCTTCAGTGCACTTGCTGATCTCTTAAAGCATTTATTTCTTGGGGTGCTCTTGCTTGTCTCTTTCCAAGCAGCATGGAAGCTCCTGGCACCTGGGGGCTCGAGGGTTTTCTCACTACTACATTTGCAATGTCTATCACTGGCACGTGGAAAGCACTCAAGGAACATTCACTGACCAACTAGCAGGGCCCAGTCGATATTACAGCTGACCCATTCCAGCTTGGATCTACTGGCCAGGCCTTAGTTTCTCCCTCTGAAACAGAATGCCTCAAACAAGAATACTGTGTGTGTTTTCCCTTGGTGACAGGCACAACATTCCTGTGCAAATGCCTGCCATTAATGGGACGTGCCTGGTGGCCGGTCAAAGTCACTGGCTACTCCTCAGCACATTCTGATTCCCAACACATGAATCTAAATTCCAGGCCACCAATTTGGATGGCGACTTACATGCTGGGTTAGGGATTTCCAGTTGCAGCTCAAGTTTCAGAAGCTTAAATTGCTTCTGAAATAAGCACTGGAAAATATTTCTACCAGAGGAAATTTTTCAGTGGTCTCTTGTTCCTGCCCTTACCCCTGGCTATGAAGTCTGACTCCAGATCAGATATCAGACATCCACCGAGTAGAGGAAAGGTTTAAACACTGTTAAGATCTTCAGCTCTCTTTTCCTCTCTGCTTGCAAAGATACTGCCCTCAAGCAACTGTAGAACATGAGCGGAAAATCAACAGTTTCAGGCTCTACAGGAAAATGAAATTAAAACAGGGGCGCCTGGGTGGCTCAGTCAGTTGAGGGTCCAACTCTTGATTTCAGCTCAGGTCATAATCCCAGGGTCATGGGATCAAGTCCTGCATTGGGCTCTGCAATGAGTGTGGAGCCTGCTTAAGATTCTCTCTCTCTCCCTCTGCCCCCCCCCTCCCCCCCCCCGCAAGCTCCAAAAAAAAAAAAAAAAAAAAAAAAAATCAATGGATTCTCATTTAAGTCAAAGCCTGAAGGATTCCTGTTCTCATTGCCTTCCTTTGCTCTTGAATGGGGGTGGCAAATATGCGGCATGCCTATCGCCCCTCCCCGACCCTCTCCACCTCTTTCCATAAACTCTGCCCCATTTAACTTAGACACAGGTTCAGGATCCTTCTCAACACTCCAGTGAGGCACAACCAATCTACTCAGGTTGGCACATGAGATTACACTGATTTAACATCTACTCTAAAACTAATACCAAAGGGTATTAACATATGGACGGGTCAGAAAAAAACAGGGGCATCCCCACACTACTAAAACGCAGCACCGTGAGATGAGATTGCTTTACGGGCAGGGGGAGAAAAGATGGAGAGAAGGTGAAAGGACACTCAAATCCATACGGCTTGAGTTTCAAAATGGAAAGAACACATGCTAGTAAGTGAATGCTACAGCGGCTTGTAACATGGGATTTCTTCAGGGAGCTGTGGGGCTTTTTTCCTCCTTAGAGCTGTAGTCTTTCAGAGTATATGAGATGCTTCCTGTTATATAACTATTCCTAATGTTTTTTCTTACTTTATTGGAAACTCTCCAAGTTTGGGGTATTTATTTCAGTATTTATGGTATCAGATTCTTCTAACACATCAGATAGTCCCTGGGATGAAATGTCATTCATACCAAGGAGCAACAAACCCTTTTACCAAATCCTCCAACTGGCATTTCTTAGCCTCATCTCTCAGTCTGTTTTTTTTTTTTTTTTAATTTTTCTTAATGTTTATTTATTTGGAAGGGGCAGAGACAGGGAGACACAGAATCCGAAGGAGGCTCCAAGCTCCGAGCTGTCAGCACAGAGCCTGACACTGGGCTCTAACCCACGAATCCCAAGATCATGACCTGAGCTGAAGTCAGACGCTTAACCGACTGAGCCACCCAGGTGCCCCTGTCAGTTTGTTTTATTCCTCCCTCCCTCTCTCCCTTCTTCCTCCTCTCCCTCCTTCTGTCCTTTTGCTACTTCCATGAATGTATATTGAATACCTCCTATATTTCAGAAACTTCCAGGCACCACGGTGACAAAGATGAACACATACTGTCTCTGCCCTCAAAGAGGCTAGGATTCTGCTTGGGCATGTGCTGGGGAGATGTGTCCCTGAGACTCTCCTGCTTCTGTGGACCGGCAGAGCTGGACTAAAGAGGACATATCTGTTGGGCTGCCTGGGGCTTGGCCAGCATCCTCTGAAAACAGCAGGGCTCCCATCAGATGGAATGACATACAATTTCTTTTTCTGCACTCCACTGAGAACAGAGGTAAATAACAAATGCAGCTGGCAGTGGCGATTTACTTAGAAAAATGACAACTTTATGGACAAGTTCTGAAGTCTAAATAGACGACACTTAGACCTAGAATGCATGCAATTAATGTTTGTTTAACTAAGCTACGAGGAGTAAGGTAATTGAGGGCAAGGTCTTATTCAGCTGGATAGAGCCTGGTACAGTGAGGTCTATCAAGGAACTAGAGGTGGCAATGGGGAAAGTGCCAGGTGACACCAAAAGCAGGGAAGAAAAGCAGTAAAGTTGAAGAGACAGAAGCTGGAGGGCACCTCTGCAGTCTCGG